TTTCTTGGAATTTCAATATCGAATGTGGGATAATTCCGGGAAAAAATTTTCTTTCCCGATTATCGCCTGAATAATTCATGATGGAAGTTGATCATTTGTGAAAGTTGTGATCATTTATGAGTAGTAGTTCTTCACTTTTCTCACCTATAATTCGAATTTCGTTTACTGGAATGTCATAATTCTCTCTTTCCATCCTGAACACCAACTGATGAGGCGAGGAGTTTTGAGATAGAATCTCGAATGGAACATCTTAAAATCTAGCATCACTTTGAGTTGTATCATGTTTAGTTTCCTTAATGTATGTAAATTTCGTAATGAACTGAGAAATTTTAAAATGGAATTATTTCAGTGCGCCATCGATAATAATGAGCAAATTTTACGGCTATTGCTGAGGCACGGTGCTGACGTGAATGCTCAGGATACCGAACAGTGGACACCTTTGCATGCGGCCGCTTGTTGTGCGCATATCGATGTGGTTCGATTGCTCATTGATAAGTTCGTTTTTTTGGTTTGTTTGATGGATTTCCATCGATGTGACATCATATATATGCCATCTTCAATTGATGCATATATATGGTAAATCGATAGATATCAATGATTTATGCTGGAAATTCTTCATGAAATTTAATTAATTGAAAGTTTTTTTCGACTGACAGTGAGGAAGGAAATTTGCTATGAGCTGGTTTTTCAAAAATTTCATTGATAATAACCTCGTGAGAGGAAGCGAAATCCATATTATTTGGTTTTAATTACATTTTGCAGTGGAGCAGATTTGCTGGCTGTGAACGCAGATGGAAATATGCCGTATGATATTTGTGACGATGAGGCGACATTGGACGTTATCGAAACCGAGATGGCATCTCGAGGCATTACACAGGCTTTTATTGGTGAATTTCTTTGCGAAATCCTCGTCGTCAATCATTCGTAAAATACAAATTTCATCAGGAGAACACATCGATTTGTTGCAAATTCATTGAAATCTGGGTGTATATTTCATAAAAAATGAATCGACATCCGCTTAAAAAGTTCAGTTTATTCTGTTATTTGTGATGATTGTTTGATTGAAGATGAACAACGAGGAGCAGCCGAGAAGCAGATGTTGGACGAAATGAAGTTGTTGAGACAAGAAGGTGAACCGCTCGATGCACGACAACCTGATGGAAGCACATATGTGAGCAGTTTCCCTCAGTAACTTCCTCAGGCCCTTCACTAAAATCTTACTCTTCAATCTGCAGCGTTGAATGATTTCGGCTGAGTGACTACTTTGTCAATTCGTCGAATTATACTGAAACGGGATCGATCGCGATCGATCACCTATGAAACCAAAAAAAAACTGTCGTAATTGTAATTTTTGCGTGCGTTTAGTTGCATGTCGCGGCAGCAAATGGATATTTCGATGTGGCAGCGTTTCTGCTAAGATGTGGTGTGTCGCCGTGCGTTCGTGACAATGATCTCTGGATGCCAGTGCATGCGGCCGCATGTTGGGCACAACCCGATTTGATTGAGTTGTTATGTGAATACGGTGGTGATATCAGTGCGAAAACGAACAATGGCGAGACACCTTTAGGTTAGCTTAGGCTTATCGTTAGCTTGATAATCTGAAGCTGATAATGGCCAGATTATCACGCTGGCGTTGTCTTGACAAAAACTTGACGACGTTTCCACACTTTCATAAAGAAATTGTTTGGTTTTTATGGATTGTTCTGAGTTTTTGTTTATTTCTGCATTATGGATTAGTTGAATCGAAGAAATTTTTGCTTTCGAAAGTTTACATTCGAATAATGTGGATGAACTGTTCAGTAACGAAGCGTTTATTCAGATATATTATTTTTGTTTGTTTTTCAGATCTCTGTGAAGATTCTACAACACGAGCCGTGATTGTGACCATGCAACAGCAAGAAGCACGAAAGAAACGACAAGCGTTCGGTGTTCGAGACAGTCGAAGGCAGTCCAGAAAGTTTGTTTGCAAATCATTTGCGCTATCTTTACAGTAACAGCGTTTGGATCTGACTTCGTATGGCGGGTGAAAATCAATTGTGAATTTGAGTATTTTACGTTGCGGATAATGAAATGTTCATCACGATGAAATCGATTGTTCTCTCTTCCCGTTTCCCGTTCGACTGTTAACGTGAATCAGTCAGTTTCTAATCCTCAAATCAGCTGGCTGAAAGAAGTTTGATTTGAAATGTGCAAAATTGCAGACGGAAAAAATTCGAATCACCTCAGCAACCAACCGCAAACACGGATAATCCATTCTCGGCTCGAGGTGCCATCAGACGTCTCTCATTGCGCGATCGATCCGGAATGACGTTGGCGCGACTGGAGGCACAGAAAGAACAAAATGATCTGTTGCGATCGTGGAGTAAAGAGGACGTTTCAACGAATGTAGGCGTTTGATAGTGTGCTTTGGACGTCGTGTTCATGAAGAGACTGCATGATTCCGTGCAGCGGCGATGTAGAATTCTGTATTTTCATGGTATACTGGGCTCATTCAGTGACGATAGTGTAGAAATTTGAATGATTATATAAACGAGAAAAGAGTTATGACTTGTAATTATTCAAGTGTTTTCCGGAAGGGGGGGGGGGGGGGAAA